ATATCCAGAGGCTCTAAACTCTGCCCGGTTTGATTAACATAGAAAGAGTTGCAATCATTACAATAAAGCTAATAAACTCTGGATTTCCTTGAAGTAGGAATTTCGTTTTCATTGTTCACCAATGAGGTTTTGAGATTGAAATCAATTTCAAATGAGATATTAGAATTGAGACTAGAAAACAGTTTCTTCAATTGTACAAAATAGCTGCCAAAATAGTGTGGAAGAATGGTACTCACGCTAGAAAACGACGCGACGCTACTATTATACCCATACACGCAAGAAAAATCACTAACCCTAAGTGGATAATAAATAGTGACAATTAAAAAGTTGAATACCATCTGGGACAGGAGAACGAGTTACAAGTTTTTTTGAATTTCAGATTGATATCCGTAAGTTATCACATCACTTGACATGAGTGACTTATTCACTTGTCTTCAGTGACTCATTCACTAATCATTAGTGACTTATTCATTTGCTATTAGTGACTTATTCATTTGCTATTAGTGACTTATACATTTGCTATAACAAACTCATTCATTTGTCATTAGTGACTTGTTTACTTGTCATTAGGGACCCAATCACTTGTCATTAGTAACCTATTCACCTGTCATCAGCTAGGTACTATATGGAAGTGAATTTATCGTTCTCTGAAATATGATAACCTTGTAAATTTGAAACATTTATTGTAACGAAGGCACAACGAAGTTGACAAGAGTGGAATATAAATTGACTTTTATACTCATTGAATGTCACTTGCTCTCGCTCGTAGTATCATTGGGATATATTCAATTTCTGAAGAAATTGGTTTGACTCCGTCTCTCTGTCAGTCTCGGAGTATGTTCATGTATTCTAGGTGAGTATATTATGATGTCGTATATGTACACTGAGAAAACTCGGCCAAGTAGATTGTTTTCTTGAAAAAAAGTCGATTGTGACAAGAACATTTTCACCAACGGTAGGAAAATATGGTACTTGCAGTAGGCAAAACTATATTTCTGAAACAAAGTTTCTGCTGTGAGTGATCAGAACACTTGTTGGTATCAACCAAGTCGATATGTACTTAGAGTTCGCTAATTCTAAGTGAACACTAAACTAGTGCTAGGTTAACGAATACTCACTATTATTAAATTATTTTTCTGACATGAGATCACTTGCTCTGAGCGAACTCATCAATGAAGACAATCTATCAACTCGATTGTTGCAGGTGACAGCTCACCTGTAGTTATAGATCTCTTTTCCGTTCGGACATCTCCGATATTTTTCGAGTACCCACGCCAAACGCGATCACTGTCCAGTGTCCACGAGTCCACGGCGTCATTTCGATCTTAGCATTCGTGAAGTTAGTATACTTGCGTTCCCGCTAGTAACATTGAAATTTCAAGTCATGCAAGTGCCCTTTCAAAAAACTACTATATCATATTCGTATGAGAATTCTCTGTTTGTGTGCCGTGCTCTGTGGCCGTGCTCTGAGCTGTGGGGTGTTGTGTTCTTGATCTGTTCTCTTGAAGGAGATAATGAAATACAAAACTCTTCTAGAACAGTACATAATTGTTTCTACATATTTCAATTCCTATGATACTCGAAGTGGAAGGAAGTGACGTTCAAAAAGTATGAAAGTTGATTCATCTTCAATGCTGGAAGGAAAAAGATAGTGAACCAGAGTGCAGTGCAGTGAGTGAGAGTACCGTTTTCCTCGGTGCATGATGCTGATATACGCGGTATCTGTTATTTCAATATTTGTCGTCAGCCTTACCTCTTTTGTATTTTCTGGATTCATCATACCTATATATGATGAAATGTTTTGAATGCATGTGTTTTTGTCTTATTACCATGGTTTCATCATTTTTCAGAGACCAATGGAGGTATTCTTCTATACTAGCTAAACACAAGTAAATAAGTCAATATTGACAAGTAAATATGTCACTGATGACTAGTATATAAGTCACTAATGACATGTAATTAGGCCACTAATGACTAGTGAATAAGTCACTAATGAAAAGTGAATGAGTCACTGATGACAATTGAATAGGTCACTGATGACAAGTGATGTTTTCACTAACCGTTATCACTCTGGAATTTAATGAAACAGGTCAATAGTGGTAGGTGTACATTTTCAGGAACACAAATATTCTTGTGGTTATCAACTTGTTTCCTTGCCCCATATAGTATACAAGTTTTTACTCCACTATAAAATATTCACTTAGGGTTAGTGATTTTTTTTCTCCGTGTAGACTAGGCATGGTTCTGTATGCCTAAGAGAATATTGTCCATCACACGCTGAAACGTGGAGGAGGAGTTATTGAGGACAAATGGCATCCGCATAAATTCGAAATAACCATTTTCAACAGCGAATGCTGTTCTCGCAATATCTTCTTTGTCAATTTCAATTTGGTAAAAATCCTGACGCGAGGTCAAGCGTGGTAAAATATTGACACTCACCAAGTTGATCAAGAAGGTCAGCAATATTAGGCAAAGGGTATTTGTTGTCTCCTGGAAGGTACTGTTCCCATATTTGGAGTGCAGCACTTAAACATACCCTGAAACTGTGGTAATTCTGTTTGAGAAAGGGAAATTCGTCTCGTGGGTGATGCATCGCTCACAAACTCAATCACTTCTCTGAAACATCGTTCAAAAATTGGTGATCTGGCCCAATTTCATAGATATTTCCATGAACGTCTGTAATTATTTGATCTTCTACGTTATTTCAATGATCAGCCCTTGATTGATTTTGAATCTCTTCGATTTTGTCACACGGGAATGAGCCTGGATTTCTTAGGTCTGCATTTAGATTGAGGATAGTTTCATCAGTTGGCGAAGGTTCTTATTCGACGTCTGAAATGTCGAACATCTGGGTATCGCATTAGCGTTTATCAATGAAGTAAGAAATTCTCCTTTATTGTTGATTCGTACCACGGCGTTTGGTAGTCAAACTCTTTCTTGCGAGGCTACATTTTAGTCTGGGAATTTTCTCGGTACGAGGCTCGATCCGAATTCGGTTGAGATTTTTGTGATCAGGTTCATTATTGTCTGTCCCTTGGTTCTCACGATGTTTTCTGAACATTACAGAAGATTTTTTTTCGTGGGAACCAGCACATAAAAAAAGTCTTGACGTTAGTTATCAGCTGTCAGTTCTCCAGGTCTATAACACAATTGTAGTGTTCTAGGAAATCTGAACCTAGTGTAACAAATATATTAACAGGTACCTGTACTCTATTGAAAATATCAACTATACGTACGCACAGATGTCTCGCCATATCTGTTTCCATTTTAATTCATCTATCGAAATCGTACAAGAGTTCTTGCTCGAAAATCGCTCGGCTTTTGTCCTCAGTGTAATGTGATATTACTTTGCCTGTGGTTCAGTGTACCTAATATATCTAATTGAATATTTTAGTGGCATATACCTGCTTTGTAGGTGAGTTATATTTTCATAATTGAATTTCGTCCCCAAATCTGCTCCCCCAAGTTTTGGCTCTGATAGGAACATTTTTTGTTTGCTTTGTAGTATTCATCAAAGCGCTAATAAGAATCACATCCGTCCCCGAACGAAGCTCTCTTTTTCTTAACTCGGCCCACCTCCCTGAGATCCAGCGCACCAACAACATTTCAATACAACTCGAGTGCCCAAGTAAGGGCGAGTTTAGGAAATTAGTATCGGAATAGGAATGCGAAGAACACCGGTCTCTGTGAGATCACATAACCAAACAAGTCCACCTTTGACAAGAAACAGGAACAGACAAAATATGGAGGCAACATACGAAAATGGCCGTAATACGTCATTTGGTGCTGCTGCCAGAGCAAATTCACCGGGTTCAGTTCCAGAAAGTTTTGCTGGAAACAAAACCGCATAGAATACGAAGGCGATTCCAAAACTGCCTCCAGCGTCATCAAATTCTTCATCTGCAGCTCACGGAATCCCGCCAGTTCCGCCTTACCCCTCTCCAGCAGGTATTATCGTTATTTTTGCAAAGTAGCAACGTGCTCATTTATTTGGACAAGCAGCAACAATATCCAACGGGACCACCTACGATGTCTGTGCCACCTCTTACATATTATCAAACTCAACACTCCCTAAACCAAGATTTTCAGAAAATCACCGGAGAAACTGTTTAACGAACGGTTACAGAAGCCCTTAACACAGCACAGTTCAATAATATTTCACAATATCGTCCGGATTTGGACAACCTATGACCAATAATCATAATATTAATAATAATATACCTCATGATATCATTAATAACAATAGAACTGTACCATGTATAATGGATATACTAGGGTATTCAGTACCATTTGATAATGAGGAAAGTATACATCCTCTTGACTTCGTAACTCAATTGAATTCTATTATAGGAAATGATAATTTGAAATTTATTGATATTCGATTGATGTTGTCAAGAAAATTTGTAGAAAAAGCTGAAAGTTGGCTTTTTTTGTCAACTTTCAAGAGTTTCCAAAATTACCAGAGAGCGTTCCTGAAATATTTTTGGGACAAGACTAGGCAATTGCATCTGGAATTGAAAATCGAGGCAGGGCGATACGAGGGGGGATCGTATGTTTGAGCATTTTACATACTCTGTGGCAATAGCGAGACATCTGAGGCCCCCATTTACAGAACCAATACTTGTAGGGTTAATATCTCGGCATTTTCTCCCAACAATATCAGCTGTGGAGTCCGGCTCTGGCAAGAAATTGACTTGGTCAGAACCAACGCGTATCCTGAAAATACCATATTTCCAACGGAACATCTTTGGAAATAAATAGTACCAGTTGTAGAATCAGTGTAATTAATAGTGATACATTGATAGATGTAAGTACTTTTGTACAAATTAATCCACCGCGCATATAATATATAAACAAACAGTTGTTGTCGTCCGGCGTTCGAGTGGTCGACACAGCACTTTATTCAGTAGTTCACCTACTCAGAACAGAGGCGTACCCAGCCCACTGCGCACTAATATGAGATCTCCTCCCAACTTCTCCGAGGGAAAAACTTGACAAACATGCCAAAGGCAATGTCCGGAAATACTTCTGACTACAGGGGTACTTCAACTGGAACATCGACTTCTACGCAACCAATGACCTTTTCCACAGTGGCAAGCCAACAAGCAGTTCCCAAATTCCCAAAACAAGACCAAGCCATACTTTTCCCATTTATAGACGGAATCAAATTACAAGAATATGTCGTTGCCTTAGGACCAATAGTACAACCAAAAAATATCCTTTTCTCCTCTAGGATCTCAAATAATAGAATATGTATTTACCTTTCCAGTACAGAAGCAGTCAACAGCTTTCTGAAAAACTGTGGTCAGATAAAAATAAAAGAAAACATCATAGATGCACGTAGATTGATCACTCCTGCTAGCCGTTTGATTCTATCCAATGTATGTCCAGCAATACCCCACGAGATAATCCAAACTCATCTAGTTAACCTGGGAATGAAACTACTATCACCCATTTCATTCCTACGGGTGGGAATCCAAGAGCCACAGTATAGTCATGTGCTTAGCTTCCGCAGACAAGTATATTACTCACCCACAGACAATATGCCAATTCCCGAATCGTTCCTCATTAAATTCGAAGGCACATCTTACAGAATCTTCCTATCGAAAGATGGACTTAACTGTTACAAATGTAAAAAATCAGGACACTTAGCTGCGTCTTGCCCCGAAACCATACCTGATGAAAACATCATTATAGAGCCTTCCCAACAACAACGAATCGAACAACCAATCGAAACAACTCCATCTGAAGAAGCCACAATAGAACCTAACTCACAGACTGAGGCAACAGATAACAACCAATACCAAAAACGTCCAAGATCCGAAGTATCTTCCCCCTCCTCAGAAAACCCTCCACCATCAGGCAACCAGGAGGTCAATTTCCTAGAACCCATCCCCCCACCCCAGAAAAAGAAAATGAAACCACCTGAACCCACTGAAAACCCTTTCGAATATGCAATACTACCAGCAAAAAAAGCTATTGAAGAAGCTGATCCACCTCTTATCTTGAACTTCACCCAAATAGCTCGCTTCCTGGAAGAATCATTTGGAACGACCAACCCACTGGATATCGCAACCGAATATACCAAAGACATCCAGGGCCTCTTACACATGCTCACCATTATGTACCCCTTGATAGAAGAACGAAAAACTAAATCAAGGATTACTAGAATAAAAAAGAAAATACTCAAACAATTAAACTCAGAATTTGACTCAAACTGTAGCCAATCGCAGTCACTGTCTGAAGATACGGACGCTTCACAAGAAACATATTAATGGCTCTGTTACAGTGGAATATACAGGGGTTATACACCCACATAGAAAATTTTCAACTCCTAGTTCAGGATTCAAGTGTTGATATTATTTGTCTCCAGGAGACGAATTTCAAGGACAACCGAACATATAACCCAAAAAAATTCAAATCATACCACAAAATCAGGGATCACGTAGAGAGAGCCAGTGGCGGAGTCTCAATTTACATCAATGAATCATGGGAATCCGAAGAAATACCTCTACACACCGATCTAGAAGCCATTGCCGTGAAAATATCTTCACCAATAAGAGTAAATTTATGTAATTTGTACCTTTCTCCCAGTAGAGACATAAACATCAAGCAACTGGAAAAACTACTAGAAGATATCCCGAAACCCAGAATTTTATTGGGTGACTTTAACTGTCACAGCACATTATGGGGCAATGCAACAACGGACAAAAGAGGAAGAATAATGGAAAAATACATCACCTCTTCCGACTTGACATTACTCAACACAGGTGAAAAAACACGATTCAACTCCGTCACTGGAAACCACTCTGCGATAGACCTGACCTTATGCGATACCTCACTGACACCAATCCTATCATGGGAAGTATTAGCGTACACCTACGACAGCGATCACTGGCCAATTGTACTGAAATGGAATATCTCATCACAAAAACCAAATACAACCCCTGAAAAATGGAAACTTGAAAATGCGAACTGGGCACAATACCAAGAACAACTAGAAAGAAACATCCCAGAAAATTACACCCTAGATGGCGATATCATTGGAATACTTGACAATTTCATAGACTTATTAAATAATGCAGGAAATATAGCACTAGGAAAAACTTCCACAATCAAAAGACGACAGGCAGTACCCTGGTGGAACACGGAATGCTATGAAGCACTGAAACAGAGCAAACATGCATTTAATAAGTTGAAGAAACATAACACCATAGAAAATATGGTGAATTTCAAGAAACTGAGAGCAAAAGCAAGATTCGTGATAAAAAAAAGTAAGCGGGAATCCTGGCAGAAATATGTATCTTCGATAAACAGCTCAACTCCCGCTACAGAAGTCTGGGACAGGATACGAAAAATCAGAGGAAATCCAACCTTTTCAGAAATCAACACACTCAACATTCACGGAACGCCTATCACAGATGACCAAGAAATAGCAAATTCCTTAGCTTCGAAGTTCCAGGAATTTTCCAACGATTCCAACTATGACCCTAGATTCCTCGAAAGAAAAAAGATGATAGAACAACAAGACATCACTATACTAGATAACAATAATAGCCCCATGAATCTACCCATAAGCATAGACGAACTTGAAGAAGCCTTAAACTCTGTTAAAAACTCCAGCCCTGGACCAGATGGAATTCCTTATGCCTTCCTAGTTAACTTACCACCCACTGCAAAAAAATACCTTTTGGATTACTATAATTATCTGTTTGCCAATAGACTATTCCCTGCTTCCTGGAACCTTGCAACTGTCATTCCCATTCTCAAAACAAATCAACCAAAATATTCCGCTGACTCGTACAGACCCATATCTTTAACGTCTAGCATATGTAAATTACTAGAAAAAATTCTGAACCAACGACTGCAACACTATCTCGAAACCAACAACTTGATATCAGCTGTACAGTGTGGCTTCAGGAAAAATAGGAGCACTATGGACAATCTAATAAACCTAGAGTCCACTATACATGAGGCATTTGCAACCAGGCGTAAGGTGATCGCGGTCTTTTTTGACATCTGTAAGGCATATGACACCGTATGGAAATATGACATATTAAGAAAACTGAAGTCTTGAGGCATTGATGGAAACCTACTGGCATTCATAAAAAAACAGGAGTTTCCGAGTCAGAGCAAACAACGTGGTGTCTAACCCAGTACAGCAAAAAAATGGAACACCCCAGGGCTCCATACTGAGTGTATCTCTTTTTCTTGTCGCAATAAATGATATTGTACAAAAAATTGAGAGCCCAATAAAAGTAGGCTTATATGCAGACGACCTTGTCATTTACCTTGCAGGTAAAAACACACATACAACAGCCAACCTTCTGCAACAGGCAATAACATATATAGAGCAATGGTCCAATGATACTGGCCTAAAACTCTCCACTTCCAAAACGAGAGCGATGTGTTTCTCAAAGACACATCACCCCGATATACTCCCAACCTTGAAACTATACAATGTAAATCTTGAGTATGTCAAAGAAATCAAATTCCTGGGATTAATTTTCGACCATAAGCTCAAATGGAACGCACACATAGAATATCTTGAGAAATCGTGCACAAAAAACATCAACCTTTTGAAAGTTATAGCCAATCATAGCTGGGGAGCCGACAGTAGCACCCTTCTGCAAATCTATAAAGCACTTATAAGGTCCAAACTTGATTACGGCGCCATAATCTACTCCACAGCCAGCCAGTCCACCCTCAGACAACTAGATGTCATTCAGAACACTGCGCTAAGACTTGCCTTAGGTGCCTACAGAACAAGCCCAGTGGACAGCTTGTACACGGAAGCATATGACCCTCCTCTACGAACAAGACGTGTCCGTCTCAGCCTGGAGTATGCCACAAGAGTGACAGCCAACCCTAGCAATCCTACCCGCGCCCATATATTCACTAACCGCTTCCACAATATCTACGAGCAAAATCCCAACATTACACCACCATTCAGCAGAAGAATCTCTATCCATAATTTAAACTTCTCCTCGATCATACCAAACAGTGTCACATACCCACCTCCTTGGACAGTTAGCCTCCCAAAGTGTAACATTACCCTCTCCAAATACCAAAAACAAAATACTTCCCCGTCCCGCTGGAGACAACTCTTCCATGAACTAAAAAGCTGTTACCAACAGCAGAACTTGATTTATACAGACGCTTCAAAAATGGATGGCAGTAACTGGATAGGGGTCGCCGTAGTAACAAACACAACAACTCATGAGTACCACTTGTCAGCACCATGCTCAGTTTATACCGGAGAAGTGTACGCCATCTTGATGGCGATTCAATTAGCAAAAAACATGACCCTCCCACTCTCAGTCATCTTCACAGACTCTTTAAGTGCGGTGCAAGCAGTCCAGAAATTATATCCCAAACACCCGATACTATTAGATATCAAAAGAAGCCTTCAGGAACTGAGATCTCAAACCAAAGATATTGAAATCGTATGGATACCCTCTCACGTAGGCATTCCTGGAAATGAGAAAGCAGACGCTGCTGCAAAGAGAGCGTGTAACCCGGTAAATACCATTCCATTACCAAGAATTCCCTGCTCTGACATGAAGAGTGAAATAAAAATAATCGAAAAAAGACTATGGCTAGACCGATGGAACTCATTAGAAAATAATAAACTATATGACATCAATCCGGACCTAACACCAAATCCATTGACCGGACTCAACAGGCGGAGCCAGGTAGTACTCAGCAGACTAAGAATAGGACACACTAGGTTAACGCATGAACACCTGATAAAAAGTGAACCCCCAAAAATGTGCTACGCGTGTGATACCCCGTTATCAGTGAAACATCTAATTATAGAGTGCCCTTTATTCGAAATGGACAGAGAACAAACCAAGTTGCCTAAACTCTTAACCAGTGCTTTAAACCCAAAAAACTTTGAAAAACTTGAACTATTTCTCAGAAACGTAGACGTGTTTGAGCATATATGAAATGTATTATAAAACGATTGTACCACCGCTAATAACCATATTGGTTGATGCGGATGAATAAAAAAAAATATCAGCTGTAGTAGTTGGGGTTGTATCACTTGGGGAGGCACTTTCCTGCTTACAACAAGCTGAATATTACGATAACTCGAATCTCAAGTTTAATAGTTTCCATGATCGAAATCGCTATACGAGGGGTAATCGAAATCGGTATACGAGGGGTGATCGAAATCGTCAAAGAAATAACGGCCAATTCATTTCACAGAGGAATCATAATGTTTCCGCTATAGATGTTTCGGAAAATATGACTCCTGCGTCAGATCCAAGAAACGATTCGGCACACAAACTTCAGGGCCTGAAGTTAGTGTGAATAGTACCCACAGGGCCGCTAATATAAAAAATAATCTCATGGATGAATTGTTGCGGAATGTGATTATGATCATGTGGTAGAGAATGAACGTTCACATAAGAGTGTCAATATTCCATTTGAATTTTTCGGCACTTATAGATACTGGTTCAGAATGTACATTCATTTCAGGTGACGTTTTCAACCAATTGTCACAATTTCATGATCAAATTCCTGCGTTTCCAGTAACTGAAGTGAGAATTACGAGGGCGTTCAGAACAAAGTAAAGACGTATTACTCAACAGCTTTTGCTCATTTTTGTCATAAACGACTCGCAATTCTGTTATGAATTTTTGTTCGTTCACCTCAAACACTTGTAAAACGTTCTGAATCGGTTATTGAAAGCGGGCTTGACACTGAATTTTGGAATATGTAGGTTTTTGCCAGAAGATTCACCTTATTTAGGATACCTCGTAACCGGAGACGGTATCCAAGCAGATCAATCGCGCGTGGAATCCATAATGAGAATTTTCTACTCCTAAAAATATTGAGCAAGTCCAATCTTTTCTAGGACTCTGCAATCATGACCGAATATTTTGCGAAAATTTTGCATCATTGGCTCAGCCTTCAACTGATCTTATGAGAAGAATATCGAAATGGACGTGGTCCGAACAACAACAGAAATCTTTCGAAAATTCGAAAAACGAATTATCGAAACCTGTTTTATTATATCATCCGAATCCTAACGTATAATATTGTGTTCAAATTGATGCGAGTGAATGTAGATCAGGAGGCTAACTGTACCAACGGATAGATGGCCGGCGTTGCGTAGTTGCGTATGCAAGTCGTCTTTTATTAGATCGTGAGAGGAATTATAGTAGTTGTGAAAAAGAATTACTTGCACTCGTCTCCGCCCTTACAAAATGAAGGACTTATTTATTGGGTCGTCATTTCCAAGTCTTCACGGACCATAAGGCACTATTATATATCCGAACCTGTCGTCTTATGACACCGAGGATTTCTCGTTGGGCTCTTGTCCTACAAGAGTTCGATTTCACCGTTAATTATGTAAAGGGCTCAGAAAATGTGATCGCGGACGTTCTTTCACGTTTTCCTCAACCACGATTGTCTATCCTAGTGATTGCTGTTTTCGGCTTCTCTATATAGACTCATGCGCGCTACTGAAAAACAAGCTGACAGACTGACCTCGTTTACAGTGGGAAGACGACAAATTAGGTCCTTTAATTAAATCTTTGAATGATGATGGAATAGAAAACAATTACGTTCTACATAACGGTTTACTTTTTGCTCGGCGTTGTGATGATGAACCATTTGCGTTATGTGTTCCAGAAGTTTCAATTGAAGATTGCGTGATTGCTTACCACGAATCGCTTAGGCATTTTGGGGTTTATGAAACGTGGTCGGTTATTAAGCGTGATCTGTGGTGAAGGGTGATTTTCAAAAGTGTTAAAATAGTCATTGAACGTTGCGCTATCTGTCAGAAGGCTGAACCAGCAATACTACCGGAACCTCCTCTGCAGTCTATACTACCTGAAAAAGTTAATAAAATAATTTCGATCGATTTATATGGCCCGTTACCTAAATCGCGCGGGGGCGTGAAATTTTGTTGTGTCATTATTGATATTTTTTTCGAATTCATAACTCTTTATGCTCTGAAGGAGGCCACATGTCACAGTATTCTGAACAAACTGATCATAGATTATTATCCAAAACACGATGTAGCAGAAAAAATTCTTTCTGACCACGGGTCTCAGTTTACTTCGGAATCTTGGGCTAGGACCTTGAACCCTTCAGGAGTAGAAACGATTTTCAGTTCTGTCAAACATCCGCTAGCTAATCCGGTAAAGAGGAGTATGCGCAATCTCTCTCGCCTCATGAGAGCACTGGTTCAGGTCCAACTGAATTACAATTAGGTACCCCCTCTATATCCTTGATGAGAGACCATATCGTTTATCCTGATGGTTTTCCGGAAAAATCAAAAGGGGTCAAAATGATTCTGGCAAAGGAGATCATGCTGGCTCTCGCCGAACGACGTAAAGTACAAAGTCCGGGACGACCGTATGAGGAATATGAGATTGGCAAACTAGTATTGTCACGGGCTAATCCGGTGATCTTGGCCTTGACGACTGAAACGAAAAAGTTTGCATTGCTTTTTGAGGGACCATATAAGGTTAATAAGCGTATCAGTAGTTTTACGTATATCCGTACCTACCCTGATACTGACAAAGGGCGCGGTTCTTTCTACGCTAGCCACTTGAGGCGATATTTTGAGTACAGCATCTAATTTTTCAAATAATGAATCGTCAAATTAGATAGGGGGCGGTTATAACAAAGATATTAACAGGTACCTGTACTTTATTGGAAGTATCAACTATAAGTACGCACAGATGTCTCGCCATGTCTGTTTTCATTTTTATTCATCTCTCGAAATGGTACAAGACTTTTTGCTCGACAATCGCTCGGCTTTTGTCCTCAGTGTTTTGTGATATTACTTAGCCTGTGGTTCAGTGTACCTAATATATCTTATTGAATATTTCAGTGGCATATACCTGCTTTGTAGATTAGTTATATTTTTATAATTGAATTTCGTACCTGAATCTGCTTCCTCAAGTTATGGCGATAATAAGAACATTTTTTGTTTGCTTAGTAGTATTCATCGAAGCGCTAATGAAACTCCACATCTGTCCCCGAACGAAGCTCTCATTTTCTTCAACTCTCCCTGAGATCCGGCGCACCAACAATATTTTGTTACACTATTGAACCGTCATAGTCGATATCTGAATCACAGACGTACACTTTATGGGGGTCATTCTTGAAATCAATGAGGGGTTGATTCGTTTATTTTGACTCTTTGAACTGTGATACCTCAAACTGTCATATTTTCTGGAAATCTATGATGATATCTTCTGCAAGTTTAACGTTTGGAAATCAATATTTCTGCTCCAGTATCTATCAGTATTCTGAAAGTATTCGTACTGTCAATAATATAATATAGATCCTTGAAATTGAGACTAGGAGAGTTTTCACGATTCGGAAGTGGAAGAAAATGCTGATAATCAGAAGTTTCATTCAAGCTCAGCAACATGATCAATATTCTTGATCATTATCGGTATAATAGTCATTTGTGTATCAATTTTCGTGATATCGATTTTTGAAATCTTCATATGTATTGTATTTGTATTTGTATTTGTATTTGTATTTGTATTTGTATTTATTCACCCAGAGACATGAAAAAATTACATGTTAAAAAAAAATACATGTTGAAATTCAATTAACATCAATTGGGCAAATATGAGTGGACTTCAGCTGGGCTGATCTTCCAGTCCCCCATCAGAAATAATAATAATATAAATATTTGTATCTACCAAAAATAAATCAAGTGATGCCTATAGATAATACTGAGATAACTAAATTTAACTAAATTTACATATTAAGTGGAATAATGATAAGGAACAATTAGGTGCCTATCAATTTTATAAGCCTACACCCTATCTACTTATATTATACATATACCTACCACGAAAGTGGACAGTGAATATATGAGATATAAAGAGGCAAAATCAGGATATAATTGAGGACAAATAGATGAATATATATGGACCTTCTACTCATGACGAACTTGAAATAAATATAGAAAACATTTATATATATATATAGATATATTCTATTATAAATTTCATTTTAATATGGTTATGTTTCTTTTTGTTCTTCGAGTAATTTTTTTCGAATTTCATTTTTGAATCTGAAGAAGTTCAAATTTTCAATTTGATCTGGTATGCTATTCCACAATCGGGGAGCAGCGCAACTGAAAGAGTTGTGAAATGAAGTTGTACGGTGTATTGGAATTGTAAAAGCATTCCGATTTCTCGTGCTATGCTCATGGTGGCGTATTTGTAATCTTTTACGTAGATATACAGGTTTATTGAGCAAGATCACATTAAATAAAAATGTTGAGAAGTGAAGGAGTCGCCTGTTTGTCATATTAAGCTTGTTTTGCTGTTCTAGATGTGGACTGATGTGTTCCCTGAAATTAATATTGAAAGAATATCGCATACAAGCATTTTGTACTTGTTGCACACGCTTTGCAACTTCTTGGGTGATTAATGAATGATAAACCACGTCTGCATAGTCAAAAAGTGACAAAATAAGTGAATATGTGACACTATCAGCAGTATGATGAAATTGATTGGTGCTATCAGTAGTATGATAGTTCTGATTTTGGTGATCAATGAAATGTGCTCTTTGTTGATTCGGTAGATTTTGGAAATTTGGATTTTGTTGTATAACTGAAGGACGATGTTGGTTCTGACATTGATATTGAGATCTATGGGCATTCTGATCGTTCATTGATGGTCTGTTTCAATAAAAAACGTTTGGCCGTTGGTGGAAATTTGGTTGTCTCCGGAAATTCGGGTTGGAATTTTTGTGTTTGGGTGAAATTTTGATTGTTAATTGGTAGCATTCTTTGCTGTCCTAGTCGACATTCGCTAGATATATGTTCAGCGCGACCACAAGAGAGACAGGTTATTCTCGCTGTGGGCATTTGAGGTCTCCTGGGTATTGGATGAGGACGTGAAATGCGCTTGGCTCTTTTCTTCTGAGTTTCAAAGTTCGAACTTTAGTCGTCTTATTCGAATGTGTGCTTCTAACTAGTCTGTAGAATTCGAACCGCGAATTATCAGTTCTAAACGTGATTCAAATCCGGTAAGCAATGTATTCAGTTCCATTGTTTCGATTAGATTGAATTGTGCTTGCTTTTGTTCAGCCTTCAGATGTTCAGATTTTTGTGAACACGAATGCATTTTTCCTACCGTTGGAAATTGTCAAAACACTTTTGCTCGGTGATTGTTTCTTCTTCATGTTCTGGTTCCCACAAAAAAGAATATCCTGTAATGTTCAGATAACATCGTGAGAACCAAGGAGAATAAGTTAGGAATTGGTGTTCTTCTTGAATTTCTGGGGGTTATATGCCTCGGGGAACACCTCCGTTGGCAATGCGATGCAGAGCCTGGCTGTTCGATGGATGAACGAATGTTTGTAAAGAAATGTTCTGCAGTTCTCTGAAGTGACCATGAAGGGGTGCGGAGGCTCAACTCGACGGGTTAATCTCGCGGGGACTGCCAAAGAAGGAATTATTGTTGATATCCCAGAAGAGCATCGTTCATGAAAATATTTATAAAATAGAGCCAGATCGCCAACTTTTCTATGTTGTCCCAGAGAAGTGAGTGAGTTTGTGAGCAAGGCATCACCCACGAGACGATTTGGCAGAATTCAACAGTTTCAGGGTAAGTTTGGGTGCTGCACTCCAAATATGAAAACAGTATTCCAGGATAGATTGGACTTGTGCCTTATAAATCATAAGCAGCTGACTGGAAGTGAAACAGCTCCTGCCAATGAAGGAAAGTGTTGTATTTCGTGCAAGATACGAAATACAACACTTCCCTTCATTGGTATATATACACGTGCACACAGCTAAGTAACCCTCACTGAAATACCTCTTGACCGGAATATGAAACTAAGTTTTTGAGATGCATTTTTGGCAATTGATCTCGCGTGATTTTTCTAAGGAAGGTTATTGCTGATAGTAATACGAAGTATCGAAATGGTATGGTACTCCTGACAAGCTTATGTTGGGCACAGTGAGATCGGCTTCTCTAGAAGAAAAGCATGCTCGTGTTTTGTCTGCATTGAAATCTACCAAGTTATTGGATCCCCATTCAAGAATTGTTGCCAAGTCCATATTTATGTTGTCAACATTTCTCCCTCATTATCCCTATTTTTTTGCGATTTTCTTTCCTCGTTTCTATAAAATGAGAATATGAATATTATTTCAATATACGTGTAGTGAGGACAAATCAGAAAATGTCACTGCGTTTGAAGAATTTCCCAATCAGAGAGCCTAAATGAAAAATTCACTAGCTTGTCAGTGACAGTGCATTGAAAAAAGTTTGAAAAAGAGGAATAAAAGTATATAGAAAAAATATCAAATTTTCACTTATCTTTGGACGTTTCGGGACCAAATCTGCTCCCGTTTTCAACATAAAGAATGGTTATTTGAATAGCAAAGTCGTATCTGTCCTCAAACTCTTCAGTTCTCAGTGACAATTAGTGACGTTGGCGATCAAATGAGTTACAGGATGTTTTCATCATTCGATCCTGAATTAACCATTTTCATGATCAGATTTCAGTAGTGGATACCATGTTCTGTCTGAATCAACTGAACAAAAAGCTATGCTATTGTCTTTGTTCAGTGACATTTTGGGGCAAATCATCTGATTTGTCCCTACTACACACACGTATATTGAAACAATATTCATATTTTTTCTTTATAGAAACGGGGAGAGAAAATTTCAATGAATTTGGAATAATGGATGTACCACCTTCTCGATTAACCTACAGTATTTCTCCATCATTCGTTTCTGATTTGCCTGGCTGGTATTGGAGCCCTGGAAGAGAAAGCGCGGTATGGAGGGTACTATCATCCGCGAAGCTGTGTACTGGATATGAAGTTGTTTCCAACAAATCGTTGATATGGAGTAGAAATAGTGTTGGTGCTAGAATCGATCCGGAACACCAGCATTTATGATAGGAGAGTCAGATGAAACTCTATCGATCTCTACATGGAGAGACCTGTTTGAGAGAAAATCAGCTAGCAGAGAACATAGCTGGGGAGAAAAGCCATAAGATGAAAGCTTGGCGAGGAGTCGTGCCATATTCGATCGATTGCCTTGGAGATATCTAGTGTCACGGCTAAGGTTCCACCATATTTTTCAATAGATCGCTGCCATATATGTGATACGTAAGCGAGCAGGTCACCAGTAGATCTCTCACAACGGATATTTCCTATTGTTAATGATACCAGAATGTTCCAGGTATTTCATGAGCTCGATGTTGATAGCTTTCTTCATGATCCTTGAAATAGTAGATAGCAGTGCGATCGGTCTGTAGTTGCTAGGTAGAATCTTTGTGTCTCCTTTGGAAACTGGTTGTACTCTTGCAATTTTATCCCCAATTTGTGAGAGTTGTGGAACAACTTGCAGAGAACAGGTATTAGTTCGGAATATAGTACATTGGCGAAAGGTGATCTCTTGCATATGACTGTCAATGGGCGTGTACACCTTAGTAGAACTTTCAACTCGAACCATGTTTATATTGATCCTTTTATACATAAATTATTATTGACGTCAAAATTCGATCGAAAAATTAACTGGAATGTCTTATTTTTGAACATAAATAATAGAACCTTCTGGAAACGGACCCTCCTATGACGTAGAAACCTTATCTCGCCACCTGGAACCTGGAACCAATGAGCGTGACCCATCTGTGACACAACTGTTGCCATATTATCCAAACAAAATATCCAAGAGATCAAAATCGATATTGAAATATCTTTTGATATCCACTACCACTACTGAAGAAAAATATATTCAAGTTGTCGATTGTAGGTTGAATCATTGGAATATAAACAATCTCTAGACAACGTAATGTCCCAATCTCAAAACCATTTGCACCATCACAATTTCACATTGATCCTATACATTTAATAAACGCAGCAACATTGCTTTGTTGACCCGTTTTA